GTGATGGAAAAAAATGGTTTAGACAAAAGGGGAGGGTATAAGGAAAGAGCCAAGCAGCAGAACAGGGAGTCTAGGGGTCACAGAGAAAGGAAATAAGATACAAGCAGGATCTGGGTTACAAAGAAGATCCATTTCTAAGTGTGTCTAAGTCAAATTTGTTGGTAAGTTGGAACAGGTACATACAGTTCTTACTGAGCCTTACTTTAGTGTAAAAAAAGGCTCAACGCCTTTCCAGTGATTTAAAAGCTGCTTGTACAGCTAGGCTGGGCAGTCTACTTCCGTAAAGATTTACTGCCTTGGAAACCCAATGGGTGTGAGTCAGAATCAACAAGACTGCAGTGGGTTTTTGTGCAGCAAGGGAAGGTGATTGTGATGAATTTGTTTTAAGTAGGGGGTGGTTCAATCATTTCAAAGTGAGGATAAATTTATGCAACATTACAGGACAAGTCTGAGTTGTCTGTCAGTAGGTTGTTCATAACCCTGGGACTTACTGTAATACAATCCCATAAACAGGGATATTCAAACATAGAACATTACTGCTGACTTAAAGATCTCATGCCATTTTCTAAAACTAAGATTTCTATTTTTTGGCATCCAGGTTAACACCATAACTAACTGCTAATTCTTTTTAAAACCTTACTCGATTTGCATTTTGCTTAGTGACAATTAGAAAGTGAAGTTAGTTTAGTGCTGCTTTGAGTTTGCTTAAAGAAGTTCAATCAAAACATTAAAAAAAAAAAAAATGGTGACATTGTGACTAGTACATGCACTCACCTGTGCCCTGACAGCTGGGTCACTAAGGGGGTGTCCTGGCAAGCAGGTTATGCTGAGAAAGAAGAACTGAGAGAGGCCCTTCTAGGATTTGCTACCTAGCAACCAGGACAAATCCTCACACCCTTCACCAAAGATTAACACTTAGACTAATCCAAGTGTTGCTTCTGTCAATGAGCTAGTTGAGCCAGTAGGAATGCCCCAGGGTTGGCAGGAAAAACTGGAATGTGTATGTTCCTATTGAGTTAAACATTCTTTCTTTTTTAATATATAGTATTGTTACTGTTTCCCTGAAGTCAATGAGGTTGTTGATGCTTATGAATTCCTAGCACTTAGTACAGTGTCTTGTACATTAAAGATTCTCAATAAATGTTTACTTAATCAATTAAAACTGGAGACTTCATAATTAATGGACAAAATACTTGAGAAGATGAGGGGTATGTGTGGATAGCTGTCTGTCTACTTTTCTCACACCTTTTCCTCATTCTTTTCTGTCAAGGTACTTTTCTTGATTTCTTTCTGTTCTGGTTACCTAGTGCTGCTCTGATAAGAATATACCACAAATGGGATGGCCTTAACAAACAGGAGTTTATTCTTACAATTTGGAAGCTTTAAATCCAATTTGGAAGCTTTAAATCCAAGTTCAAAGTGTCAGGCTCTAGGAGCTGGTTGAAAGCCCCTCAACCTTGGAGTCCAGCTCTGCCTCCTGCTCCCAGCCCACTGAAGCTAGAAGTGTTTCTTCACTCAGACAGCTGCTGGCTGCTGGGGCTGAGAAGTCCCAAGGTTGACAAGTAAAAAGGCACAGTCCTGATGTTACCAAACCACATGGCAGGCCATTAACTTAAGTTCATTGTAAGTCCCAAGGTTGGCAGAGCATAGCAGGCTGCAGAGCAACGACATGGCTACATGCAGGGTCCGAGCATGCTGTAGGCTAGAGACCATTCCCAAAGGCTTCTTATATATGAGAAGCAGACCACATACCCAGAGCAGTTACTCAGTTGCTTGTGGTAGATCCCACCATGGAGTTGATTGCCAGTCTCATTATAGGGAATACTACATCCAGCTGCCCAGCCTTTCAACCAGGCCCAGCCAAGTTGACACGCAAATATAACCACCACACCTTCTTTGTACTTGTTACCCCAACATAACACAATTGCACAGTGAACTTCATTATAGAGAATGGGCTTGTCAGGACACCACTCAGTTCATCTCTGGTAGATACAGTGTGATTTTAATTCTGGTCTTCATAAGGCTATAAACCAGTGATTCCAATCCGGTGACTCACTGTAATTACCTGGATGATAAAAAATCTGTTGTGTGGTTCCCACTCCAGGGGTGCTGATCCAGATGGTCTGAGTGGGGCCAGGGCGCAGGTGTTTCTAAAGTTCCCTGGGGGATTCTACTGTGCATCTGATGTTGGGAACCCCATCACCAAACAGCCCTTCTGGGTGACTGAAATCATTAGGGATAAGGACCCTCCCATGGGTCTTGCCCCAACTTGGATTATATCCATTTGATGGGCCCATTCTGACACTCTTTTTTTAGTTCTAGACTGAGCTCCAATTTTTGTCCTGTTTTCTTCTCTGCTTCATTTAGGTGTCTTTCTGTTTGGGCTCAAGTAAAGGCTTTCCTAAGGGATTTTGGACAGGATTTCAAATAGGTTCATTTCATTCTGGTTTGACCTCCTGCTGAGAATTTGCATTTCAACGCCATATTCACTGAATCAGAACTTACATTTTAACAAGGACCCCAGGTGATTCTTAAAGATCCCCAAATGATTCTTTCATATAGATAAGAATATTAACCCCACTGCCACTGAGTCTATACCAACTCATTGCCACCCTACAGGACAGAGTAGAAATGTCTCAGAGAGTTTCCAAGGTTGCAAATCTTTAAGGAAGCATATGGCTTCATCTTTCTCCCACAGAGCAGCAGCTAATTGGTTCGAACCCCACCCCCTGACTTTTGGTTAGCAGCCCAATGTTTTAACCATTACACCACCAGAGCGCCTTGTAAAAATTATCTCATAGTGACCCTGCCTTGGGTTTCCAAGGAGGTATCTCTAAGGAAGTAGATTGCCCAGTCTTCCTCTGAGGAGTGGCTGGTGGGTTTGAACTTAGACACTATGCCACCAGAGCACCTTATAAGAATTGTAGAGATTCTTATATACATAAGAGTTCTTATAGATCTCCAGGCAATTTAACATCTTTTTAAAATGTAGATTCTGACTCAGGATATGTGGGGTGGAAATGCAAATTCTCAGCAAGAGGTCCAACTGGAATGAAGGTTCAAACCCTGGAACCAGGGTTTAAAGCCCTGATTTTGGAAGAGTTAGAATTTAAACTTCATTCCTCTGGTGGTGGTAAGACATCTAAGGTGCATACCATTTGAGTTATAGTTCACAACACAATTACTGACAACTCCAAGTGCTCCATGGCTATGAATGAAAGAAAAAGCTCAGCTCTGTCCTCAACCTGGCCCACTAACTTTATTAGGGGAATCACCGTTGAGAAAGCAAAGTTGTTTCATTGGCGATGCAAACTCTAATGACTAGGGAGAGGCAGAGACCTATAAATTCAGGCTCTCAGCTGCTCACTGTACGTAGGCTTCCCAGTTCCTTGCCCAACCACCTCTGTCTCTCTGAAAGCCAGGTAAGTTGTCTGCGGCTCCAACTTAAGACTTCTGTGTTTGGAGGACACTGATGTTTGTTACTTTGAAAAGAATCCTTCTACTCAGCTTGGACTTTGCTTTGGGGTGGTTTTATTTAATTCAGTGCCATCATGATTGACCGTGTATCTTCTTTATCCTGTTTGACATTAATTTAATTCATTTTATTTCTGAGTCAACCTGCAAGCAAGCTAGAGATGCCATCTTTAGTGGCAGGTGTGGGATGCCTTACTAGGAATGGCAGCTTAACAGAAAAAGGCCCAAAGTGTGTGAGTTTTCAAAAATTTTACTCTGCATTAATCTCATTCTTGGTTTAGGATTCTTCCTAAAGTATTAACTAGTTTTAAAGTAGCTGGTGATGAAGAAAACAAAACATGTTCTCTTTGGTAAAAATATCAATTGATCTTTAAAAGTTATTTTGTGTGTATGTGTGTGTGTATGAGATAATAAAAGTGACACAGCCTCCCTGCAGAGGCCTGAAGCAATATGGAAAAGATTGGAAAAGAAAATCCTTTCACCACTGCCCTCCACCCCCAACAATCCAGGGTCAGACTTACATCATTGCCCTTCAAGGAAAATTTAGCCCAAAGTCAAGTTGTCGTGCGGTTAGGAAGTGAGGTGTGAGAGAATAAATCTATCCTGCCACTCTCTGCACTGGATTTTGAATCAATTGAGAAATGTGAAGTACCAGAGAAGCATGTAAGTGTTGGCTTTATTACAATGATTTTTAAAGCTGTGCTGGAAAACGTTGTGTGGACCTGGGGCCAGTGGGGGTTCCCTCACCTCCCCATGCCCGGTCCCAGGCAGTGCAGTTCGACAAGCTGGTCATCCCAGGACAGGGCATGGGCCTGCCTGAGGGAGCTCTCCTCAAGAGGAAGGCAGCTGTGAGGCAAACACGGGCAGGTTCTGACAGAGAGAAACAGATACAAGCCATTAAGATGTCATCTCTGTTTCCTGGGGAAGTGAAAACCGAGAACCACTCAGTGAGGCCAGACTCCAGATGATTCCGCCATCGAGAGAAGTCTGAGAGAAGGCAGCACTCTTCCCCTGAGAGGGCGAAAAGCCTCTAGCTGTAGAATCAATGCAGGGAGAGGAAGGGAAAAGGAAGGGTACTCGCAACGTAAAACAAAACAAGTATACAAAACGTAGTTGCCCAGAAGTTGACTCTGACTCGTGGTGATCCCATGTCTGTCACATTAGAACTGTGTCCCTGGGGTTTTTAATGGCTGGTCTTTTGGAGGTCGAGTGCCAAGCTCTTCTTTTGAAGGGCCTCTTTGTTGTTGTTGTTATGTGCTATCAAGTCGGCCCCGACTCATAGCGACCCCTCCTTGGGTTTCCGAGGCAGTATCACTATGGAAGTAGGATTGCCCAACCTTCCTTCCGAGGAGTGGCTCTAGCTGGACTCAAGTCACCAACCTCGGCTTGGTTAGCAGCCGAGTGTTAACTGTTCGCATCACCCAGCGTCTCTCACCCCCCAGCCAAGAGCAATTAAACTAGGGAATGAAGAGGGCTTGGTTTGCGCTGATTGTCACTGTTGCTGTTCTAGATTTCATGATATTACCATGACTTCACTTGGGGCAGCCAACACTCGGTTTGGATTCAACCTTTTCAAAGAGCTGAAGAAAACCAATGATGGTAATGTCTTCTTCTCCCCTGTGGGCATCTCCACTGCCATTGGCATGATCTTCCTGGGCACCCGAGGGAGCACGGCCCGGCAGCTACGGAAGGTAGGGACGGGTTTGCTTGGCACAGACGCCTCTCTCAGGGAAGCCCTCCAATGTTACTTCAACAATATGTTCATTTTAACTTTTGAGCCAGGAACTGAGAGACTGGGAAGAGATGGAGCAATGGCAGGTCTCTCAGGGAAGTCTCTTCCCTGTACAGGTACTGTCACGCCATCTGCTCTCTGACGTATGAAAGCTCTTGGGTGGAGGCTGGATGAGTGATTTGGTCCAAGCTATTAATCTCATAATTCAAGCTAAGATGTGAAGAACATGAACCACTGGGCGAGGGGGCATAATCCCCATTAGAGTATAAGCAAGAGTCCCTGGTGCAATAGGTTAAGCCCTGGACTACGAGCCGGCAGGCTGGCGGTTTGAACCCTCCAGCGGTGCCTCAGAAGAAGGGCGCAGGAATCTGCTTATGAAAGGTCACAGCTTTGGCAAAGCTACAGAGCAGCATACTCTGCAGACACGGGTTCGCTATGAGGTGGAATAGACCGGGCAGCAACTAACAACAGCAGGGTAGAAATGCCACATCCAAACCGAAAGACCACACCTGCTGCCACCAAGTCAGTTCTGACTCATACTGACCCCATAGGACCGAGTAGAATTGCCTCATAGGGTTTCTAAAGCTGAAAATCTTTATGGAAGCAGTCTGCCTCATCTTTCTCTTGCAGAGTAGCTAGTGGCTTGAACCGCTGACCTTTTTGTTTAGCAGCTGAAAGCTTTAACCACTGCACCACCAGAGCTCCCTTAAATGCCATGTGAGTGATGAATAAATGAATGGATAATTCCTCAGAGCTCCTCTGAAGAGGGAACTGCATAACCCCATCCTTTCCGTGTTCCTTCGAGGAGAGACGTGTGAACCATATGCATTGAGGCTCCTTTACCAAAGAATATCTACTTTCCCTTGACAGCTCTGTGTGGGGTTTTCTCTGCTCTGCCTACTGCCATAATATTTTCTGTCTCTTCCAGGTACTTTACTCTGAAAAGGACACGGAAATCTCAAGAGCAAAAGCTGAAGAAAAGGTGGGGAGACTTGTCTTAAAACCTTCAGTATGGTTGACTTGTTAGGTGTGGGCTTCCTGGGGAGAAGGGCTGGGAAGTTCCTGGAAGAGGTCATTCTTCACACTCTTCCTAAGCGCCAATAATCTCTGCAGCCAAATGACATTGCTAGGATTACACAGCAATAATAAACCTTAACATTAAGACTGAGTCCCTTAGGTTGTGCCAGCAGTTTAATCGCTCAGTTGCTAACCAAAAGGTTGGAGGTTCTAGTACAGAGCCAGAGAGCTTCAGAAGAAAGGTTTGACAAGGAACTTCTGAAAATAAGCCATCAAACACCCTGTGGGGCACGGTTCTATCTGACACACACAGGGCCGCCAGGAGTTGGAATTGACTGGACGGCAGCTGGTTTTTCTGGATTATTGTGTTGGAGTCCCTGGGTGATGCAAAATAGTTCACACACTTGACTGCTCACCCAGAGGTGGCTTGGACCAAAGGACTGGAGACCTACTTCTGAAAAATGGTCTCCGTGAGTTGGAACTGACAAACTCTGGTTTTTCAGGTTAAGAGACTTTAACTTGAAGAAGAGATAGTCATTATGATGTATACTGGTGAAAGTCCAATAGAATGAAAAGCAGCAATAACAGTGTTGGATGGGTTTTGGAGTTAAATGTATTTGTGTTCAAATCCTGGCTCAGTGGTTAGCACCTATGTTACATTCAACTAGTTTTTTTGTTTTCTTTGTGTTTCTGTGAAGCATCCAGCAGAGTGTCTGGAATACACTGGAACTCACCCAGTGGTGGTGGTAGTTGTTGCTGTTGAGTTGGCCCCAGTGGTGGTAATAGGAGGGGATAAAATTATGAAATTCCACTTTCATTAACAAAACAAAGCAGTTTGAACCCACCAGAGTTCAAAGTTCAACAAAGCTTTGTTCAGAGTTCAACAAAGCCACTCACTAGGGGGTTGTTGTTGTTGTTGTTATGTGCCGTGGAGTCGAACCCGACTCATAGCGACCTCTTCTTGGGTTTCCGAGGCAGTATCACTATGGAAGTAGATTGCCCCATCTTCCTTCCGAGGAGTGGCTGGTGGATTTGAACCGCCAGCCTTCTGGTTAGC